GCTCGTTTTTGTCTAGGTTAAAAAATAACAAAGGTATATTCACCCGAAGCTCTGAGCTGGCCAGTTGTCACCGTGCTCCCTTCAGCCTGTCTCCTTCTAAGCTGCAGCATTGGAAGTTTCCTCACCGTCCTCACCGTCCTCATGTCTTACACTGGAGGGAATTTATCAAAACTGGAGCAGAAAAAAATCAGGAGCAGTTGTGTATGGCAACCAATCAGCTTTTCTGTTCAGTTTGTTCTTTTAAGATTTGAAAATGAAACAGAGAGACTGATTGGTTGCCATGCACAGCTACTCCAGTTTTGATAAATTCCATGCACAGCTACTCCAGTTTATAGAACATGGTGATTTACAGGAACTTAAGACTGCTGCAGTGGAGGGGGAGAGAGGCCCCAGGGACTAGTCTAATAAGAAGCCAGCTCCACGGTTCAGGTGAATATAACTTTTTTTTTAACCTAGATAAAAAGGCGCCGTTAACCCTTGCAGCAGGGGTAAATCCCTGTACTGCAATGGTTAATAAAATGTTTTCCTGGAGCTCTTCTTTCAGTATCATTTAAGTTAGAATATGTTATAGCAATATTTTAAGCTAAACGAGTTGCCCTTTAACAGCTGATGCAGCCGTGATCTTGGTATCTTCTTGAAAATCTCTTAATGTACAATTGATTTTGGCAGCTGTACAGGTGCCCGATCACTTGTACCAGCACTTTGCAATTGTTTGATCAATATTTCTAGGGCTATTATTTGCTGCTAACTCTATATGGACGAGCAGTAAAGGCTTTTAAAGCGCCGCCTACTGAGAATTTTGAGTACCACAGTTTTTCACCATTGCACGAGCGTTCACAGTTTTAAGCCTTGACCTATTTAGTATCTTATCAAAGATGACTTCATCTTTTATATTTTGCCAAACAATTGTTATTATATTGAGTTTCGTGCACTAAAATTGATTTTAGTGTAGTTTGTTCCTAAATACAGCAATTTGATAAACATTTGAGCAAATATTGTAAGACATAAAAAAATAATACAGCTACCATTTTTTTTATTTTACAGGGCTTCTGCTTTCAGAAAATATATAACTGTTTGAGGGTTTAAAGTCATTTTCTATCAAAAAAATTCAGATTTTAGCCTGTGTGTGCAAAAGTTTAAAAATTGCTCTGGTCCTTATCTGGTTAATTAAATTCAATATATTTGCGCTCACATGCTGCTTTCCACTAAAGCATACACCTTGTGAAGTGAGGTATTTTGTTGAACTGTGTTTTTGCAATCTGCAGTTTATGGCTTCTGTGTTAAATCCATGTTGTCAGGTATAGAAAAAACACTATGCTATAAGCAAAGCTAGCTCCTGACTTCGAATAAGTCCAGACTCTGTAAATCAGCTTTGGGATTCAGGGTTAGTTTATTTGTATTTAAATGCTACACTGCACTTACTATTACAGTTATTTTTCACTGTAAACTTAAAACACGAACAGCTATGAAAACACAACTGAATCCAGTTATGTACTTATTAAAAACTATTACACATTTAAATACTTTTAGCACAGGAACCTGGATTTATTCCAGGGACGTGCGGTCAGGGGAGGCAGAGCCTCACCTAGTATTATGGAGGAAAAAGCTGTCAGCTTCAAGTCTGAAGCTGGCAGCTTTTTGTCCATTCAGAGTGGCTTGTAACAGGTTACACAGCAGGGAAAGCCTCCCCGCTGTGTAACCTGTCATGGATGGAGCGCTGTCTGTTAGTTACAGGCCAAAGTGCCATTGGTCCAAGCTGTCCAATCAAAAAAAAGAAAAAAAGACACAGAGCACATCGATCTCTGAGCCTCAGCAGTGACAAGCAAGGGAGGGACACGGAGTCTACTCCCTTCCTCCTTACTCCCTCACACTAGCTTGGTGATTGGGTTGGGGGCGGGCTTCGTTGTAATGGGGACAGGGCTTCTGCTGGATATGGGGCAGGGCTTTGGCAGGCTGGGGCGGGGCAATGCCTCCTTCAGAACTGAAGGTACCTCATGTCACTGATTTATATTAGCTTCTTGTAATGTCCACAAGCATGCAGAGTGGAGGAAGAAAGAATATGCAGTGTGAGACAATTAGTCTCTACTTCACTCCACTGTGCTGTCAATGTAAAACTGCAAGCTTGCTTTGGAAAAGCTCAGTTCTCGTGAACAGTAAATCAGTAATAATGTACTCAGTGGTGCCAGTACATCTCCTCAGTTACCTTCCAGAGTGCCAAAAGAGTCCCAAAATCTGATGTGTTCTATTATGGAAATACAGATTTTTATTAAAAATGTGTCCTTGGCCTCTTATCTCCTGGTAAGAGGCCTCACGGCCTAGCCAGTCAATGTGACTGAAGGCTTTGCTGACCAAAAGCAGGTCGAAAGAGGAGAGAGAGGTAAGGAAGTTAGTATTTGTATATTAGAATGCTTTGAGTACAGTACTGGGGTTTCTGGGACATTCTATAAGGTAACTGCACTAACATTTAGAAGGCACATGCCAAATAAGTACAGGTACAAATATTGTGCCATTCTAATACTGCATAGTAGGCAGAAAAACCTGGCTCTCTGCTTTACATAGTCTCGGCATGCATACAGGATATGGATATGATCTACTTCCAGATGATTCAGCATTTTTATATAATACATACATACACAAGGACAGCCAGTCCAGTACCCACAATAAACAAGAATGCCTGTGACTCATGCCTGAATGATTGTGTTTAAGATATGGCCCTCTGAGATTTGTGGGATTTTGTGTTGGTTATTCAAGTTGGATGTTCTCCCAATACAAATTTAATATGGCATTAACCAGAATGCTGACAGCAGGATTTGAAATGTTCTCTCTGATGGGACTAAAGAATAATTTCCATGCGCTGCTAAAGGACTCCCAAGCACCACTTCTGTTATCTGTTTTCTAAACGGTACAAGACGTGCACTGTGTACCAGGTCTCTGCACCCGCAGTAAGAGCAAGAATTCCTGACAATGCTTTCATATGGACACTGTTGCTATGGAAATCTGCTTGGCTGACCTTACCGGGTCATTGAATCACTGAATTTGTACAGGGAAAATGGACCAATAATTTAGTGAATCTAGTTTAACTCCAAAAAACATGATGGGAACAACCTAATAAAAATTCATACCAAAAAGTTCCAAATACAAGTAAATATATTGTTTTAAGCTGCTATCTATGTGAATTAAAATTATACAGAGGGTTATTTTTACAGGAACCTGCACTTACTGCAATTACTTTTGCACGATATTCTAATTATTTCACCTGTATATATATTTATTTTTTTATTTTTTTATTTATTTTGATATTTGAAAGCATCTTTCTTTTGTAACACAACATGATGTCCACTTGTCTTTCAGCAAAAAGAACACATTACAATGTCTCACTGACTAAAGGTTGTGGAAAACATCCTATGTGTCCAAGTCCCAAGAATTAGGGTTTTTCTCAACAGAGCCACTGGCCACAGCAGTGCTCTATACTGTTTAGCGACTCCCAATGGCTCTCCACACCTCTCGTGTGACTCTTACACACCTCCCTCGTATGTAACTGGCTCTCTAAGACTTCCTTGGCTTCCTCCCATGCGCCTCCAACACACACAGCCACCTTGCTCCACTCAAACTCCAAGGTGGAGTCTTCCTGACTCCCGCACAGCGACCTTCCCTGTCTCCCAGTTGGAGCCCTGAATATTAGCCAGCATCTTTTCCATAAGGGCTGTGCACAGGTATGCAATCATTAGGTGCTGACTACTACTAAACCCCGGACCCAGGAATGGAGATTTCATCCCTCCCAATTCTCTTTGAAATCTCCCAGTTCCAGGATCCCAACTATAATCCAGAAAACCTGGAAAACACTGCAAAGCCAGCTCTTTACCTATAAAAGTCATTGCTTTCTGGAACCGCTCAGCCCCTCTGGCTGAGAGTCCTGGGCGACTCTGTTGCCAAATTACATTGTGGCATTGCCACGCACTGCCAAGATGTATATATAAAATGTAATAAAATAGCACTTTTAAGGACAAAATATGCAGTCATTTTTCCTGCAGACATGCTAACTTTCAGTCCCTTTTTGAAACCCACAAATGTACAGACTTGGTACCGAAATATTGAAAAATAAAAATGGGATGAAATGGTAGTAACACCTGGACAGAAAACTGAAGTTCTCAGCAGGTAGGCTGTTTCCTGCATGCATCTCATGTCTTCATTTTCAGTTTTGACTTGAGAGTCACCTAAAGATTAGGACTGGTCTCCACATATGTTCTGTATGCCTAACACTATATGCCTGCTGTACCCGTATTGTTATGTTCTGAATAATATGAAGAAATAATAGATTTTAATAGATCCAATATGAATAGAGATGTATAGAGTTATAAGCACAGGAGGTTAAACTGTTGTTTCTTCTTTAGTACATCAACATAATTAGGTTATATATAAGCCCAAAAACTAAATTATAATATTTTGGAGATTACCAGTCCTTAGAAGTAGCTAAATTTTTTTTTTTTTTTGGTAAAAGGCATTTCTGCAAGCAAATACCTGTTAATCTTGCCAGAAATCACCTAAAAGTGATTAGGTTAATCACCTAAAAGCACAAACAATGCTTTTAGTTTTTCTCTGCAAACTAAAAAAAACTCTCACTCCCCATGTAATGGAGATGAAGAGAGGAAGACATGTTTGAAGTCCATCCTTGGTGACAACCATGACTTCCTTCCACAGGTACAGTGGAGTGAGTGTAGCCACCCAGGTACGGGAAGTGTGTTATTTGCAGGATTGCCAGGTGGAAATAAAGGCAGAAAGCCTGTAAAAAAAGGAAAACTAATGCATCTAAGGACGGTTAAACTGTAATGATACTATATGTATTTTCGTGCTTTTTTGTGTTTTAATACACTTTAAGTAAAACAGAAATTTTGATTTACAGACCACTGGAAGCTATAGACACAAAGGGGATTTAACATATACTAACATTCTAATAGAACTATGGTTTGTTTGCTGTAGTATTCTGTATATAAAAAGCTTACCTCCATCGATACATAGGGTGTATCCTGCACTTGGAGTGAAATTTGTACCCCATCAATTGCGACCTTTCTTGAGTATAATGCACCTGTACAGTAACAAAGCAAGTTTGATATGAAACCATGTCTCCTCTGTAGTTTTGTATTCATAATTTTAAAACATTTCATTTTTTTAATGAAGACATGATGACTTTTAGTTCTTTTATTTTAAGTGAAAAATTTCCAGACTGGGTACTTAAAGTGGCATTAAACCTTCAGGGTTTTTTTTCTGTTTTATGGTGGGCAGATTTGCTTAAAAAAAAGTTATTTTATCCTTTATTTTTTTTTAATTTCCCCGTTCTCCAGTGGTATCCAGACCGCAAGCCCGCCCCCCCTTTACAGGTGCCTCCATCAGCTAGCCAACTGCTGTGGAATCACCCGTACGTGCACGGTCACAGCCGTGTCCGCACCTAGCTGAGTGCGTCCATAGACACACACGGCGTGCGGCTGGCCATGCCCTCACCCTTGCAGCCATAACCTGACTGACAGCAGAAGGAGCATATGGCTCCTCTGCTCTTAGTACCCTCCCCAGCAACCAGGAAGTTCTGGGAAACCCGTGTATATTCCTGGTCGCGGTGAAGAAAAGTGGCTGTAGGCAAGTGTAGATGGGACAGGGGTGTTTGAAAAGGGTGTTTTTTGCCTTGATGCATAGAATGAATTAAGGAAAACAACACCCAGCCTTTAATACTACTGTAAATAAGCCTTGGGGAGAAAAAAAACGTATTTGCATTCGGATTTATGCAAAGTGGTCTTATTTTTGACCTGTCAGGAATCCATAATGTGCTTTTGTTCATTTGTGTTATTTATATATTTTAAATCACACGTTTATTTTATGACATTTGGTATGATTTATTGGATTTTAATCCCTGTGACAGGCACCCAATCAACAAAAGGAGCCTGACAAAGTTCTAACCGTTCCCCACTCTATCAAAAACTGGCACAAAGGTTTTGCTGGGTGTCCCACTTTAACTAGTACAGCTGTCAGGTCTGGATGCCCTTTAGTAGATAGGTAGACTTAAATAGAAACATTAAATTTTTTACCCCAGTCAGCATTAAAATATTAGTACGGTAGTATGTGCAATCCCCACCTTCCCAGATAGCAAAATGCTCTAAATTTACTCTAGGGAGAGATTAAAGTACCTGATCAGATAGAAGAGGCCATAACTGCACAAACAGTGCTGAGAAGTGGTTTTGTGGGAGGGAAGAATAAGCTAAGTATGCCTCAGCTTTAAACTTTCCTAGAGTAAATGAGCATTAAACTTTGGTACAAGGGGGCACATACTACTATTTAATTTACTACTGACTTAAGTTCGGCTTTAACTGAAACGTACCTTGTACCTGAAATGTACCTAATGATCACTGAGGTGCTTTTGGTCTTTTATCAGTCATTATTTTCTATTAGGATATATAGTATATATACAAATACAGTAAGTGATTTAAAATAGTAATTTAATGTACATATAACATTTTTACACTGGCCTAATAAATAAATATTCATGTCATAATTTGTGTTTAGCCTTGTTTACTGGCATGTTGTGGGTTGCTATCATGAAGTTTTTACTTTGAGATGTAGACCAGATATTGGTGACCTGGGTAACACAGCTATTATTATTGTTTACTGCAATATCAAAACACTAAAATAACACTGGAGAGCAGGAGCTCTGAAGACGTAGCTGGAAGTCTTCAGGGTAATATGAGGAAGTACAACCTCGAAGAAAGGGTAATGGACCATAGTTTACACAAATTACTTCCAAGGCAAAGACATATAGCATGATGTTTAGCTCTCAGTGGACTTAAACCACAGTACTTAAATCTCAGAAATCATTAATTTCCTGCACAGACAAAAGTGAAATACTGAGATCTGCCCTCCAGTGCAAGCAGCTCACTCCCCAGCATCCATGACACAATTTAAATCTGCATCCCATTACACGCCGCTCACTGCCCAATATCCATGCTATAAGCGAGATCTTCCTCCAATGCCAATATCATGCTACCCATTACACACAGCTCAGTCCGCAGTATCCATGCTACAGGTGGGATCTTTACCAGGTTGCACACAGCTCATTTGCCAGCATCCATGCCACAAGTTAGTGCTGCCCCAATAACACACAAGTCATGCCTCTTTATTAATGCCACAAATTAGGTCTGCTCCTCCCAGGTACACACAACTCAGTTGCAGGTACCCATGCCACATGTGAGAGCTACCAGTGTCATAGCTCTCTCCTCAGTATCTATGCTACAAGGGAGATATTTCCCCAGTTACACACAGCTCACATACCAGTATCCATCTAACATGTGAGATCTGCCCCACTACACACAGCTCACTCCTCAGTATCAATGCTACAAATGAGATATGTCCCCCGATCAGTGGCGTCACAAGGGAGGTGCGGCCCGCACCCGGGTGCCACCATTGGAGGGGTGACACCAAAATGACTCACAGTCATTTTGGTGTCACCCCCCTCTGAAAAGTCGGGCGCTCGGTCATGGACCGAACGCCCAACAGTATCAGTAGAGAGGAGGTGACCCGGCGGCATAGCTTATCCCGCCGGGTGACTGTCCCCTCCTCTCTCTGCGTAGCGTCCATCACCAAGATGATGTCATCGCGCACGCGCGTGGTGACGTCACGCGCATGCGCAGTGACGTCTCGGCAGGGTGACACTCGGTTACCGCTCAGGGGGTCACCCAGCCTCGGGACGCCCCTGCCCCCGATTACACACATCTCACATACCAGTATACATGTCACATGTGAGATCTTCCCCCATCACATACAGCTCACTCCCTGGTGGCCAAACTACTAATGAGATGCCTCATCCTTCTCTATTATAGTCAGTGATTCATCCCTCTCTGTGACATAAAGTGCATATACCTCTGTAGCTCTCTATTACATGCAGTGCCTCATATCTATTACATGAAGTGCTACATAGCTCTCTTTTAAAAGCAATGACTCATACTTCTCTGTTATACACAGTCACTTATACCTCTCTGTTACGGGCAGTGCCCTATATCTCTGTATAATCCATAATAACGCATACCTTTGTGTAAGGCATCATACACACGGGGCGATCTGGCCTCTTTTGGTGGCAGGAACCCACGGATTACAGGCACAGCAGCTGCATTTGAATGGGACATCTGGGATTCCCACGACAGAAATCAGTAGGTTCCTGGAGCAGCAATCCCAGATCTCCCCATGTGAATGGGGCCTTACAGTTAGGTTCAATAGTACAAAAATAGAAAATAATAAAATTAAACTTTAAAACAGTTGTTTGAAAGAAATTTTAAGGTGGGTTTCGAATTAAGGTAGACACATGTTACAATCTGATTACGCAATCTCCTTACATTTACCAGCCATGGAAAATGTACTTCCAGTTAAGTAGATCTTCATAATATATTAAGACATGTCAGGCTGTGGACAGGCTTTCCCTGTGGTAAGTGGATGGAAACGGGACAAAGATCTTGCAGGGTTTTAGATAAATAAAATCTTCAACTAAGCCAGTGGGAAAGAGTGGTAAGGACACTAAAAGTAATTGCTACAATTTGGAATGATCTTTTTCAAGGAACAAAGACACATTACTAAGGACCAAAATGACAAATAAGAACATATGATTTAACAAGTAAGATGATATAAAGAGTGCATACACCCAAAGTCTATTATAACGTAGCATCTCTTTGTGTACAGCACAAAGCTTTCCTGAGAAAGCATAAGTAGGGCCAGTTAAATCACAGTGGTCTTTCTCAGATAATATTGATTGTACATGTTGTGCATTTGCAAATGTTGACACAGACAGAAAATTTGCAGGCTTCTCATTTTGTAAGCACATGCTGGGTAATTGATCTCCCTCTCCACCCTCTTTACAAACTTACCAGTGTTTGCTTCATAGTCTCCAATAAACCTCTTTGTCAGAAATCTTACAACCAAGGCTAGGACAAAGGAAAAGAAAAAGCTTTGTTAACGTGACTTAGGAAGTCTCAAGGATTACATATTTATTGAGTCTTAAATTACTGCCTCGCTTCACATAGCAAATGTATAGTATTGCTTAATAACCTTGACTAACTTAGTGTAAACTGTAATAGAATGTTTCGTTGTCTGACTTGACAGGTGTTAGCAGAGCAGGGTTGTAGTCCACTCAAAAGTATGCATCTAATAATTCATTAATTGATGATTGTTAAATATTAATTCCCAAAGTTCATCCAAATTGTGATGTCTAGAAACAAGCATATACTTGACGTGGAAATAATTAGTCATTTGTTTTCCATCACTGGGCAACCTAAAAAGGCAAGTAAAAGTGTTTCAAATTTTTATTTGATATTAAGAGAACCGAGTCCAAAAAAACTTTAATGAAAAACTGAATTAGACTCAATACTAGTCTTATAGTCTTATACTAGATGAATAACAGAAATGTTTGTTAAACACAGCTTGATTCAATTAGGATTAGATGCGTTGGAAGCATACTATACAATAAATTCTCCAGCATCCTGTAAATGATACATTACTTTCATCCACATTATATTTTAGGCATATAGCCTCAAGGCAGAGATGCTGTTTTAAGTTCAGATTCCAAGTTTTTGGGCACCAAGTGATACTGTTAGTGTGCCATTATTTTGGGGTCACCAATGCACCACTTTTCATAGACCCTCAACTATTATATGTGCCATACTTATTATTATATAGGATTTATATAGCGCCAACAGTTTGCGCAGAGCTTTACAATATAAGGAAGGCATTACAATCACAATACAATTCAAGACAAGGTGGTAAGGAGGGCCCTGCCCCTGAGGGCTTACAATCTAAAAGGGAGGGGGATGTGATACATGAGGAGGTAGCCGTGTGGGGATTAATTGTTTGAGAACGTGATGGTTGAGTGGTTAGGTTGAGGTGGGATAGGCTTCCCTGAAGAGATGAGTCTTAAGGGATCGCTTAAAGGCAGTCAGAGTGGGAGACAGACGGACAGGTTGGGGTAAAGAGTTCCAGAGGATGGGAGAGACTCTAGTGAAGTCCTGGAGGCGAGCATGGGAGGAGTTGACGCGGGAGCTGGAAAGCAGGAGGTCTTTTGAAGAGCGGAGGGGACAGTTAGGGTGATACTGTGAGACAAGGTTTGAGATATAGCCAGGGGCTGAGTTGTGGATGGCTTTGTAAGTCATTGTTAATATTTTGAATGTTATCCTTTGGGCTATTGGAAGCCAGTGGAGGGATCGGCAGAGGGGGGTTGCAGACACTGAGCTGTTGGTTAGGTGAATGAGTCTAGCAGCAGCATTCATGATAGACTGAAGGGGGGATAGCCTGTGTAGAGGTAAGCCAATGACTATACTTCTGAGAACTAAAATCTATCGCACTATAGTCCAGTAAAATGGATGAAGTATTTAACTCAGACCCCCCAGAATACATTTGAGGAGCCATTCAGACTGTAAATAAACAGTTTGAGAACTTCTGCATTAAGACTTTTATAAACAGGGCAAGCAATACAGTTGATTAGGCTGTATTAGAATTAGGCCTGAGGTGCTGAAGACGGCATGAGTAGAATATCCAGTGTGTGAAATGGAATATCCATTCCTATGACACATCTGTTTGGGCATGAGGAAATTATATGATTTGGATGAATTAGGAAAGTTAAGAGATCATGTCCTCACTGAGGACTCTAACTATAATGTTTGTTACTTGTTGGAGGATATACACTTTGATCACCAATTGCCCCAGTTCATTGCCTGGAACAGACATTGTCTTACATCTTACAACTTCAGTCCAACAAGAGGATAGAAAGTCAAAAAATACATACACATACAGATACTGCATATCCTACATATTTATGTAAAGACCTATCCAATCCTGTTTATTCCTGCATTATTTAATCCATGGGAAATTCACTGAGGTACTTTTTGTGCCTAGGCGTTCTAGAAAAGAAGTATGTGTTGTACTTTCAGTGTATTGGCCATTAACATGTAGCATTGAAAATGAGGTTATACATTTGCCATGTATGTATATGTACCTTTTAAACGAAAGTACAGCATAGTTAGTGGACATTAAAGCTATGTATTTAGCAAATAGTTATTAATATAACTTCTTCCGTTTAGACTTGGTGTACTGTTGTGGATGTATTGGAAGGTTTTATTTAGCATGATCTTATGCTGCTTATATATTTATTCCCATCTTCTAAGTGGTTGTGTTTATTTTAATCATTGTTTTCAGAATAATAAAGGCACATAACACATGTTTGAAATTAAAATCATATGTATTGTCTTGAATATTCTACCAAGGGACTCCTACAAAGTGAGTCATGTGACACTAATTACATAATTACCAAATATATACTAACAGATGCCTTTGTTACCACCCATAACAATGCTTTTATAATTATTTAAAATGGCTTCTTGTCACCTATGTATACAAATATTGTCCTATATTAAATATGAGAGAAAATACAGACCATCAGCTTACGCTGCACAGAAATGATGTTTCTATTTTGATGACTAAGATGTCCAATTGTCATTTCTTCTACTGTAACGTAAGCATGTATAAAGATATAACAAGGTGCGTGTAGCCAAAAATAGAGATGGTCAGAAGGTGCCTGTTAAGCGAGATGCACATCCATCATGTAATGTAAAGCCATGTAAATACAAAACTGTCATGATTAGTTTATATGGTTTACTAATACAAGCTTTTATAACAAGTACTGTGCTTGATTTGTAGGGAAAGGAATATAGATGTATTTGCAATCTAGACACTTTAAACAGCTTGACACGTTTTGTTAAAATACGTGCCATCTAGGGATGTTCAGATACCAAGTACCTTTTGATACAAGTACAGATACTTTTCCAGCTCCAAGTCTAGACTAGAGAAAAAAAATCAAAAGTGAGGAGGCAGCTGTAATTTTTAAAGAGCATACGGAGCTACTGGTATCTGTGCATCCCTGTTTTAATGCGTGTTTTACTAATTTTTAAATTTGTTTTATAAATATATATAAGGGATGCACCAACACCATTTTTTCAAGTACAAGTACTGATACTTGTCCACGTACTCCCAGATACAAGTACTGATACTTGTCCAATACTCCGAGATACAAGTACTGATACTTGCCCAAGTACTCCCAGATACAAGTACTGAAACTTGTCCAAGTACTCCCAGATACAAGTACTGATTCTTGTCCAAGTACTCACAGATACAAGTACTGATACTTGTCCAAGTACTCCCAGATACAAGTACTGATAATTGTCAAAGTACTCACAGATACAAGTACTGATACATTTTTGTTTATTGTCATGTGACAGTTTTTCTAAAACAATACAGACTAATGATTTCAGGACAGTGGTGGAGCGTCAGAGCCAGGTCCCAGCTGCAACCCTGGGAGTCCTCGTAAAAAAAATACCTAGTATCGGCACCGGCATCTGAACATCTCTATTGCCATCAATTTGTGAAGCAGTCTCCATGTATATTCTGCTCTAACTTTGAGCACATTACTATAGAGAAAATTGACTGCAGTGCAAATTGTGATGAATGCAATGATCTTTGTGTTTTAACATAGGGCTGATTGTAGTCCTCTATCGTTAACTGTCACAAACCAAACTATAGATGATTGACAAGTGAAAACCAGCTGCTTCTGCTAGAGTGAACACAATTAAAGCTGTGTGCCTTCACGTTTGCTACTACTTACAGCTAACTGAACATCAGAAGCCTTAGAGACCTGTGAAAATGATTATTTTACCTCTGTAATACAAAGTTTAATAAACTTGATCACTTTTATCATGATAAGTCAATACACAAAGTAAACTGGACTGAAAAAAACATTCCAATTAACTCAGAACATAATAATATACTCTTTTACCTGTTTTTCCAACACCACTGCCCCCCAGTACCACAATCTTGATGTTCCTGTTAGGGTCACAGTCCAACAGAGGATACTCAGGGATAGGAACAAGTAGATAGTTGTGAGCATACTGGGACATAGTCTGCCAAAAATATTACGGGCAATTGTCCAGCTATTAAGGTTACGTATTGATATTAAGTTCCGTGGCTTCTTGACGCTAATACCATGGTTTAGAAGCAAGTAAAGCTGGTGAGACGTCCCTGAGAAAAATCCAACTTCCCAAACTGAGGGTCTCCTTCAAAAGCAGAAGAGAACTTCTCTCTCCCAGCTTGAGTGAAAACTGATTCCTACAGTCTCCAACCAATCAGAATACAAGCGTTGACATTCCAAGGGGAGGGGTTCTGGGAAATGGTGATGTTAACTGTATCTTCTCAGATGAGTTACACTTTAGATAACCCTGTATACATTCTGCATCTATTCCGAAAAGAACTGCTACAAAGAGGACGTAGCCGACACAAAAAGTAATGTAAATAAACATTAAAATGAATATCACTCTTATTCCATTTTTTACTTCTGCTCCGTCTTTAAATCTAAATATTGATGTATTATAAAAATGTGTGCTACATATTTATGCATTTGTTTTTTGAATAACGATACTAAACATGATTTAATTATATAAATACAAATGCATTACATGAGACTTTCTGCTAATTGGTACAAACATCCTCCTATGTATTACAAAGTGATGTAAACTAGCGTATTCAATAGGACATAAAATGTGGCTGCATGATGGATTATAATAGACTGGCATAAGAGGTCTGATATTCTGTACAGAAACGGTTAAATACAACTGTTTTCTTCAGTTTGAGAGAGTTCAAGCTTCAATGATTTAATCCTTAGTCTTCTGAGATGCCCTGCTAGAGGGAGACACAGAACAATAAGGACTCCCACTCTGTGAGTCAATTGTAAAACATGCAGCCTTTCATAGACTGCTACAAAACTCACCATTAACTGCTTCTTCAGATCCCAGCGATGATTAACTTTACAAAAAGCTTCTGGGATTTTGGTTTGAACTAATACAATATATTAGTTGTATTGGGGTTCCAAGTCTCCCTAAAGTGTGTATATATATATATATTGTAAAGTGTATATACATAAATAAAAAAGGAAAATTGTATACTCAGCTATTGGTAATTTTCCTTTCCTGACTTCAATACATGACAGCATATGAATGGGTTTATCTCCACCCCTCACCCAATCACAGGACTAGTTATACTATAAATAAAAGTCACCTTCACGGCAACCATTCTTGTAACAAGTACTCAATGTAAAAGCCAAGGAAGGGTCCCATATTGGCGTCAGGAAAGGAAAATTACTGATAGGTGAGTATACAATTTTCCGTTTTCCTGACACCAACATGGCAGCATACGAATGGGACATAGCAAGCTAAAACAAGGCAGGGTAAAGTTGAGATATGTATCTATTTACACAATTGTGAAATGGATTCAGAACCAAACTTCACCATGGACAAGACTCCTGGATAGACCCTGTATTGGGACAGGAACATATACCAGGTTACTGCCTTCCAGTATAACTCTGGAGATACACCACTAAATCTATCCATAAGGATGACATCCTTCAGTAGAGTGAACCCAGAGATTGATCTTTGGCTCCATCTGCTTGACCGGCCATAATGCATGTGACCTAGTGGATGCAGAAAGCCCCTTTCTGATACCGCCAGAAAGATGAACAGATCAACCTGAAAGAAGAGGTGACCTCTATGTACTTCCTCATTTAAGGCACGAGCTGAAACAGAACTTTAACCTGGAATACTGGCAACAAAGATGTCCTATTTAGATGGAAGGATCTTCCAACCTCTGGATGATGCTGGGAGAGAGAAGTAGGATTATACTTTCTGGGAAATGGTAGCAATAAGATGGTTTGCAGCCTAGCCTTGACTATCCAAGTCAGTGGCGGAACTACCGCCGGTGTGCCTCAGCCTGGGGGGGCTCAGCACAGTCCTGGCCTGTGCATAGATGGTATCCAGCGAGATGGGGGACCTGCCAGCTGCCGGATACACTTCTTAATATCTCCACACTCCGACGCCCTGAATTAGGGGAGAGGGGGGCGTAGGCTACACGCACGCCCGCTTGCTGGATACCCAGATATTATGGGGCCCCCGTGAGGAGGGAGCTGCGAGCCGATGATAGTGAAGACAGTGAAGACGGCCCTGCAGGGTGCAGGCACATTGGACTGCTGTGAGGACCCAGCAAGCAGGAAACAGACACTGGGTTTTTCTGCAGCCTGAATCCCCCACCAGGAAACAGCAGAAGACCAGCCAGAAGAGGTAAGTATAAATAATTAATTAAAACAATTATTATTTGTAGCCTGAGGTTGTGTAAAGTACAGCTGGTATTTGTAGTGCTCTATAGCAGGTGCCATTCTGCATTGCAGCAATGCAGAATGGGACCCTCTATAGAGGACTACAAATCTCAGCAGTACTTTATACAGAAATGCTATAGTTGTATAAAGTATATACAGCCGAGCGCTGTGGGAGGAGAGCGATGTGAGCGGCCGGCGTCTCTCATCCCACACCGCTCAGCCTCCTATCACAGTCCGGTGTTCTATCGCAGATTGTGACTGCGTTAGAATGTGTGACCGCTGACATCATCACACTTTCTAATGTAATCACGCCCATTTTTTTGGCGGTAGAATGTGTGACCCGTCACGTGGTCACACATTCTAACGTAGCCACACCCATTTTTTTCTGGGGTAACAATGTGTGACCGGCAAAACGTGTAGAATTCAAAGCTTTCTCCACCGTTCTTGGGCAGATCGGCATCGCAGATGGTATGTGCAGGAGAACCGATGTGCCCCGGAACAGCTGATCGGTCCTGAAATCTCACTTCTACCCGACTTTGTATTGCACTCGCAATACACTGGAAGAGCGTTGTGTGGGCGGAGACAGCCCGCGCTGTCACAGGAGGCTGGGCTCTTCTCCCTGCACCTCTCACTCAGCCTCCTGTGACAGCATATCAGAGAGGAGAGCGGTACAAACTCAAGACCCTCCTCCCCGAGGAGATTGCTGTAAGAAAAACTATTTTACGTGAAAGGCACCCAATGAGTTGAGTTGATTCAGCCAGAGCAAAGCAGCACTGCAAAGCCATAGGAAATAGTAGTCAAACAACCTAAATGAAAGAACATGGAGTGGATACTATTTGTCATCTTGTCCATGCATGTGATCATTCCGACACAACCTTAGTTTCTGATGATGCAGCTGAGTCACATTTTTCTCCGGAGTCACAGGAAGAGGAGGCCAAGCAAGTGTCTTCAACATGCCGCCATGGAAGAAGCATCCGAATATGAAGGACCCCAAGAGACCATTTCCTGCACCCCAAACGTCTGAAGATATGGGGGAGGCTTCCCTTATAAGATAGCCTTTAGCCACCTGAACAAAGGGAACTTCGCAACCAGTAGAGGCTGAACCTGTGCGGCAGGCCAGAAGAAACCAGCAGTGACGGTAAAAATCAAAAAAATATTCTTTAGCATAACCGGCTTGAGCAGTGAGGACAGAAAAAAAAATGGTTGCCTTAGGAGGCATCTTTTATTTATAGTATAACTGGTCCTGTGATTTGGTTGGGGGCGGAGCTAAACACATTCGTATGCCAAAAAAAAAAAGTCACAACCTAGCTAAGCAAAAAAGTAACAGACTTCCATTGGATAGTTAGTCTAGGTTCAGCAAAGTTATGTTCCCAAAAATGAGGTCAGCTGGCTACTTCAATATATTGAATGACTACTTTGTTGCATCAATAGATTTTTTTTTCTTCCAAGACGGCAGGGGCATATTCCAAGATGACAATGCCAGGGTTACTTGGGCTCAAATTGTAAAAGAGTGGTATGAGATATCATTTTCAAACATGGATTGGCCACCACAGAGTTCAGACCTTTTCCTGTCTGTTGCCCTTTCAGCAGATTTCCCTTCTCACTTCCTGTCCTGGGGACACAACAGGAAGCGAGAGAAAATCCCTTAGGCAATTGTCACCAGAACAAATGTGTCCATTGGAAGATTTACCCTCACCTCTTCTTCTGTAACTGTAAAATTTTGGATTTCCCATAACTTAAGCTGGCCATACGCTTACTTTTTTTTTAAAATCATGGCATTTTTTTTCCACCTAACTTTATTGCTATCACACAGGAGATAACAAGCCTTGGTGTGATAGCAAGGTAGACGGCGAGGTATGAATCCACCGGCGTCCTGTTAATGTGGATTGACGCCGGTAGATTCATACCACGCGCCCTATATCTGACAACTGGGGGGAGGAGTTGCTGCCCGCCGCAACGTGATTGGCCGGCGGCCGCACACTCCGCCGCCGGGACACCTTACACCGGCCCCCGCAAGTTCACCGCTGCCGCCCCTCTGCCGGGCCTCGGTGGCCTTGTGGGAAATCCGGGCCCTATTTGTCCCTTTTATTTCAAAATGTTCACTCATATTTTATCACAGCCGCGGGTTCCAGTAAGCAGCTTCTCTGAACTTCCGGTCCACTTATTTTCTTATATTCTCTATCTCTCTCTCACCAACAATGCTCAGCAATGTTTCCTCTTTATTGCTCAGTGACCAGCGTTGGCAGTCAGTGAGAGGGAGTAGTGGCTGACTTTGGCAGTCAGAGAGAGGGAATAGTGCCAAGCGTCGGCAGTCAGAAAATAGGGAAAATAAGTGCCTGGCGGTGGAGGTTAGAAAGATGGAAAAGTGCCCGAAGTTGGCAGTCAGAAAGAGGTAAAAGTGCCCAGTGTTGGTGGTCAGAAAGATGGAAAAGTGCCCAGTGTTGGTGGTCAGAAAGATGGAAAAGTGCCCGGAGTTGGCAGTCAGAAAGAGGTAAAAGTGCCCAGTGTTGGCGGTCAGAAAGATGGAAAAGTGCCCAGTGTTGATGGTCAGAGAGAGGGAAAAGTGCCCGGAGTTGGCAGTCAAAAACATGGAAAAGTGCCCGGAGTTGGCAGTCAGAAAGAGGGAAAAGTGCCCGGAGTTGGAGGTCAGAAAGAGGGAAAGGTGCCTTGAGCTGGTAGCCAGAGAGGGGGAAAAATGCCCGGTGTTGGGGGTCAGAGAGAAGGAAAAGTGCTCGGAGTTGGGGGTCTGAGAGAGGGAAAACTGCCTGGCATTGGGGGTCAGAGAGAGGGAAAAGTGCACGGCATTGGGGGTCAGAGAGAGGGAAAATGCCCGGCGTTGGAGGTCAGAGAGAGGGAAAATGCCTGGCGTTGGGGGTCAGAGAGAGGGAAAAGTGCACGGCATTGGGGGTCAGAGAAAGAGAAAATGCCCGGCGTTGGGGGTCAGAGAGAGGGAAAATGCCCGGCGTTGAAGGTCAGAGAGAGGGACCTCCAATGATCATCGCATGTAGGTGTTACTTGTTGCAAATGCAGTCTGCCTGGAAATGCCCACTCCTCCAGATCAACAGCCACCCATCAAGACTTATGATCTGCCTGCATTAGATAGAGAAGCTAAGAGAACCATGGATAGTCACTGGGTCTAAAATAGAGTATGTCAAGAAAAAAGGGTTTTATTTCTAAATTCCTTTAGCATGTTGATTAGGGGGGCAAAGGAGGAACCAGGGAAATCAGAATAATCTTCAGCGTTAATAACAATTCTTCAGATAAAACTCCTCATGGCCATGTTACTGTATCCACTTAGATAAATACAGGTATTACAGAAGTAGTGGGGGATGTACCGCATTCATTCACAGTAGAGAAGTCTCCATCTTCAATAAAACATAATCCGTGTTGTCACTCCAAAGAAAACAGAGAAAGAGAAAATGCCCGGCGTTGGGGGTCAGAGAAAGAGAAAATGCTCGGCGTTGGGGGTCACAGAGAGGGAAAATGCCCGGCGTTGGGGGTCACAGAGATGGAAAAGCTGTCAGCCAGGATTCACCCATCCATTTAATGGATTCCATAGGAAAACTGTGTGAATTTTGAGTAAGGATTTATGAAGCATTGTTTACTATCGTGGCAGACAGGTTCTTCTAAGCTTTGCCCCTAGCCCCCTCAGTTTTCCTCTGACACACTGCCTGCCATAGAGTTTCCCTAGCTCTTTCCGCCCCTGGCCTCTTTGCTGTGTCGGAACGTCTGCTCCAGGCACTCTCCTGCAGACGGCCATGTTTCCGGACGGATTAGTTTGTATGTAGCACAGCGGCGGGCGGAGCGCTATCCCGGGGACTCTGCTGCGGCTGTCAAGGTCCGAGCTCCGGTTGATGATGGCGACGGCGGAGGAGGGCGGATGGACCTACCAATGACCGTCCGCAAGATCGCCTCGATCTGCACCATGGCAAGTGCGGGAGGGGGTCTGGGGGGCCCGGGGGAGGAGAGGTCTGTCTCTGGGGACCTCCATACCTGCACACAGCCCATTACACCTCTCTGCACGGGGGCCCCACCCTGGGAGAGGTACCCGGCTCATCTACCTGTCTTGTTACCATTGTCAGTGTAAAGTTTATGTCAGTCATGAGGTCATAGAGGTGCAGAGTACTGCGCCTGATGGGGCATAGGAACTCTTTGTATGTAGAGGAATCCATTTCAGTATACAGCTGACAGTGCTGGGACAGTCATGGTGCTGCATTATATGCCATGTCTGTATGTGTGTGAGCCTATCATTATCCTGGCTGGGTGCAGACTGTGCTGTTTGTTTTGGGTGCAAACTGTGCTGTTTGTTTTGGGTTGGATGAGACTTCCTGGAGTCACATAATAAGCTGCATGCTTAGAGAATGGAAGACATGCTGGGCGTTTACAGCTAACAGATCTAACATGCTGGCCTTCCCTTCAGCCTTATACACTTGTACAGGCTCCTTCCCTGGACTCAAACTGCTTGCAGTGATTTCACTGCACACTGTGAGCTTCTCAGTGTGCATTAGAAATCAGATCGAACCCACCTCATTTACTGGCTGGAGTCTGACCGTCCCTGACCTGCCCCTTTCATTGATTGGCTTTTAACTTTTTCAATCATGGAGTCTCCTTATCGCATGTAGGTGTTACTTGTTGCAAATGCAGTCTGCCTTGAAATGCCCACTCCTCCAGACCGATAGCCACCCATCAAGACTTATGATCTGCCTGCATTAGATAGAGAAGCTAAGAGAACCATGGATAGTCACTGGGTCTAAAATAGAGTATGTCAAGAAAAAAGGGTTTTATTTCTAAATTCCTTTAGCATGTTGATTAGGGGGGCAAAGGAGGAACCAGGGAAATCAGAATAATCTTCAGCGTTAATAACAATTCTTCAGATAAAACTCCTCATGGCCATGTTACTGTATCCACTTAGATAAATACAGGTATTACAGAAGTAGTGGGGGGTGTACCGCATTCATTCACAGTAGATAAGTCTCCATCTTCAATAAAACATAATCCGCGTTTTCACTCCAAAGAAAGCGACATAAAAGCGCTGTACGTGGCTGAGTAGAATATAATGGGCGTCTGAGGATCGGAATTGCTTTCCGAGTGGTGTGGACATTTTTACAAAAACTACTTGTCCAAGCATGCTGCTTTAGCAGGGGCCCAGTCTACTTGTCCCTGATGCCAATCTACTTGTCCTGATATAAAAAATATTTTTAACCAAAACCGTATTTAACCGTGCTAAGAAGCGCTTCTCATTGGTCAGGTGACGGGACTGACCAATGAGTGCTTGCTATTTGTGAGCAGGGCTGCGCAGGATGGCAGTACGGTGTATGGATAGTATATCCGTACCAGCAGAGGGGAAGGACCGCGAGTTGAAAGGTAAGTATAATGGCAGATTTGATCGGGTAATTCAATTTTCCCACATAATGCACAAAATGACAGACAGAGGAATGGGGGCAACACACACACACACACGCTGCCCATTTGCATGCAGATGACGTTAATGACCGGAGTTGGTTTTCATTTTTGTTTCTTTTATTTTGTTGTTTTTTTTTTTATCACTTTTATTGCTATCACACGGGGGCTTACAAGCTCCTATCCAATAATGTTTGGAGTTGAAAGGTTCTCTTTATGAAGCCTGGCCTCCAATACAGGAGATTGAGCACAGCATTGTGATATGACACACAGAATGATATGTGTGTGAACAAGCAGGCAGCTACAAGTGATCTGGCCGGCTGTACAGCACCCCAGGTCACTTTTACAAAATAAACGGCGGCTCCCCTGCTCTACATTTAGACCTGCTTGCCAACAGCAAAATGGAATTGCCCAATAAAACAAGGCAGGAGGCCAATGAGAATGAGGGCCTAACCTTCCCCATCTTGTGATTCTCTATTGGTACATTAGATTGATGTGCAGCTACATTAACCAATAGGCACAGGAAAGGGACGGTGCTCAGTGCGGTGGTAGTCCCTTGCAAGGGTAAGTTGTTTTTTTCCGTTTTAGTTTTAATTTCCAGAGTTCTTGATTGCTGTTTATACCAAAAGTAGCCATGGAGCGTTTTTAAACTAGAATTTAGATAAATAATCTTTTCAGTGAAATCATAACTTTCTGTGTTTCCATGCTAAAACCCGTATATATAAGAATTAACATTTTTGGCTTTGTTTTTGGTCACCCTTTTAAAACCTAGCGGGTCTGAACCAGATTAAGGGTGGGTTCACACCATAAAGAGTACGTTCCAGGGCGATCAGCTTCTGGAACGCACTGTATCGCATTCCGGCCGGCTTTCTGCGTTCAGGGGCGGGAGGGGACGTGGCAGTAAGTTGAAGTCAATGACACCGAAGCTAAGCCCCCCCCCTGCAGTGTGATCGCCCATACTAGAACGCTTACCACATCAGTGCCTGCAATCCGGTCCAGTGTGATCTGCAAACACTATATTTTAGCGGATCACACTGGACCGGAACGAAGGCTTATGGATCATGATTTAACCTATGCATGTTAGCAGGGGAGAATTGTAACTCTATTACTGCAGTGTACGGGACATATGTACTGCGGATCATGATTTAACCCATTCATGTTAGCAGGGCAGAATTGTGAGCACCGAGACGCGATGCAGCGATCCTGCCCAGCGCCGACTACGAGAGGCAGCGCGTGAGGCAACAGGGATCGGCGTGAAACTGTGAGTGAGGGAAGCTGGGACGGGGCTGGCTGTAAATCTTTTGCTATAGTGTACTGGACGTGTGTCATGTATATGTAGTACATATATACAGCACACACCTCCACTACACTCCAGCAATCGAGTTACAATTCTCCGCTACTAACATGAATAGGTTAAACCATGATCCATAGTACAGAACATGTAGTTGTACTATGGATCGTTTAAAGTCACCTGTCCCTTTAATAAAAAGTATCGGTAATTGGTATCGGCAAGTACATGAGGGGAAGTACTTGGGCCTGAAAAAGTGGCACCGGGACATCCCTAGAAGGCACTGATGTGGCACGCGTTCTGGTGTGGGTGATCACACTGTGGGTGGAAGGTGTGGCTGCGGGGAAAATTGACTTCAACTCGCCACCACTCCCGCCTCTAAACGCAGGAAGCTGGCCATAATGCCATACAATGCGTTCCAGAGGCTGACCACTCTGGACCGCACTGTTTATTGTGTGAACTGGCCCCCAAAAAAGTTGGTTCCACGGAGGCGATAACAGTGTCTCTCGTCCGCTGTGCTCTATGTAAAATATGGGCAGCTTGTTCAGCTTTCAGCTGCTCTCCCTTCTCTATCTGATGCTGGCAGTTTGATGCTTCTTCCATAGCGACTGAATGCACAGTTGTCGTTTAATGTTGTCACAGCCACGATAAATTTATGCTGCTATTTGGTTGCTTTCTAAGTGGCACGTTCGGCTCTTTTGATTACAATATAGTTGCCATGCTGAAGCTGTATGTTAGTCAGTAAACTGTATTTCTTTTCTTGATCATATTGCAGGGTCTCATTACACCCTGGTGTTCTCATTGTTATAGTGTGCCATATTAACCTGGCCACATTTTGCTGGAGGACCTTCATTATGCCTAATGTAAGCTTGCGAAAGCCCTGGTTAAAGCAGTTGCATGCTGGGAAAAGATTGTCGTTTGTAGAAATGGCTTCATGCTGGAGTTTGCTTCCTCTTGTGCTTGTTCTCTGTGCTTGTATTGCTGATGCTGCTTTGTTAAGCACTAAACCATACCACAGTCACAAAGTGAAACAGATCAATATGAAGGTTGATCCGTTCATTTCCTAGATGGTGCCAGACAAAACGGCTTGACAGTGTGTCAGGGTTAAATAGGAATGTGTTTATTACAAAGCAATATGTTAATTGCACTTGAGCAAGCATTGTGGTTTTTAAATCTGCATTAACCCCTTCATGACTGAGGCCCTTTTTTCATTTTTTGCACCCATTCTTCGGGACGCAGAAGCGATCTGGCGACAGGTAAGTCGCCAGGATCGCTTCTGTTGTAAAGCCGACAGTCGGCTCTACAAGTTTAAACAGACTCCCGGTGGCAAAAGTCGCCGATAGTCTGTTTAAACAGCCCCGATGCTGGCGACGTACACTGTACATCGTCAGTCACGAAGGGGTTAACCAGCCTCCAAAAAGCATTTGCTGACATAGCTGCTATGATGACGCACAATGTCCATTTTTTGGAAGGGGCGCGGTAGGGCAGTCTGATAGCAAGAGTTACTCCCCAGCTCAAGCATCACTTGTGATAGTTGGGTTTTTAGTTATCTAGTAGACAATAACAAGTGCCTCCTGTGGTCAGAGATGCCTTTTCGCACAGGGAAATTTTACAACTGTATAGAAGAATTTCAAGTGCATGGACATGGTCCTTAAAAAGGCACTGAACCCTGGAAGCTTTGACCTAAAAGGCAGGCAGAGGTCAAAGGACGAGTCACCAGTGTTGATGTGCTCTTCCTGCAGCTGAATATTTTCCCTATGCATTGTTCTGCACCGTGGTTTGCTTCCTCATGTCAGAGTCTTCAGCAAAGAGAACAGTGAGCAGCACAGCAGTGACATCATCAAATCTCCAGAGACTGTCAGTCAGTGCCATAGATCTCACACTGCAGATGTACAACTATGTCCGATTCTGGCCGGAACGCACTGCATCGCATTGCGGTTTGCTCGTTTTTTGCCAGGCTGGAGGGGGCGTGGCGGGCCAGTGAAGTGAATGGCACTGTAGCCACGCCCTCCGGCCGCAATGCGAAAGCCCGCACGGGATCGCAAGGCACATTGTGCCTGCAGTGCGGTCCGGTGCGATCAAAATAGTTGCTTACAGCATGAAGAGTGCTTGAAGAGTCCATGTTAAACAAGGGGAACCATATAAACTGTATGCTAAAAAAGGGACCAAGGCTAAGATATATGAAGGATTTTTCCTACATAAAGTGAACTTCTAATGTGAATAACCAAATGATACAAAAA